TCTTGTCCGCAGAGACAATGCCATAGCGCTGTTTTAAGGGAACCAGCTTTTTCCATTGTAACCTGGTGATTACAAAACAGTAGGAGGCGGGCAAGGGCGACTCTGATTAGTATAGCACACCGTACGCGAGCGGCAGCTTCTTCGGGTTGGCGAGCTGCCAAGTGATTACCGAAGCGCATCAGGCGCTCCGACAAGCCTTGTGGCGATGGTGTTACAGATGGTCGATGGTTTTTGTCAAATATCAGAATGGCTTCATTGCGATGCGGTCGACGAGGGCATGTGAAGGTTGAGCTCGTGCCATGCATCCCGCCGATCAGCCGAGGCCTGCTTAAGCGATGGTTTAGCTTCAATGCGGCGCACGCGATCCCTCTGTCTTCCTCAACCACCCAACCTGCGTCGCACAGCGTGCAGCTGTACTTCCTTTTTGTGATGTCTATTACATATCCCGATGACACCGACGCCTGCGATGGGTAGAGCTGCCGCTGGTGTAGCGAACATGATTGGCATCGTATTTATGCGACAGCAGGAGATGGAATCGCGGAATCTCGGCCGTTCAGTCATCACGCTCCTCCACAACAATCTCTCAGAGCGCGCGCGAGATGCGATTGGCTACCACGTTTCATAAAAGCACCGCTATACGAAGTACGCGTTGTTCACATCCCCCGAGCATACCCGTCGGAAGGAAGCGGTCGCACCACTGTTAGCTTGTATACGTCAGTACAAAGACTAGCCTCCTAGCACTGCCTGTGCTTAATGGACGTCGTTTGGAAGCGCGACACCTCAGCTGGATTCGCGAAAGGCCTTGAACGCAACGCGTTCGAGAGCATCACATACATGGCATGGGGCTGAAGGACGCGTCGATTCTCTACCGTCGCATCCTCTATACAATTGCCAAGAGAAACGTCACCAGTCATCGTGCGAGCTGAGCTTCTCAGACTCGGCCTATAGAGCAATCTGCGGCTCTTCGGAAGGACACAGTTGACCGCCATCGCAGCAGGTCCGAATCGCAACGTTGAGCAGGACATGCACACGTCTCTGCACGATGACAGTGAAGTCAGGCTAGACTGCTGTTCCTCGCTGCTGCGTTAATGGAACAGTACGTGGTTCGGGCTCATACATAACCCTTGACATGGAGGTTCACCTTCTTTCGCGAGAACTTCATTCCCTCTCTTTGCTCTAGGCCTTTGATGCTTCTGACGTGCAGTCCGTGCAAACTTGGCCAGAGTCCCGATTCTTTCGCAAATGACGATCAGAGAACCTGACCGCTGGTCTGAGTGCTGATCTTTTGCTAAGATCTGGATTTCCAGCGGCTATATTGAGCAACTAACGAAACGCTTGCCGCGGCTCAACTCATCACCAGGTTATTTACCGAAGTATCATCCGAGACTCTTGGTCCCCACTAACATGCATTCGATTTCCCCAGATTTTCTCCTCAATCAGTATTTTGCCAATCAACCATTAATCTACTTCGGTCTCCTTGGCGGTCTTCCCCATGTATTTGAGTATGGTCAATGGGTCAGATCGACGACGATGCGGCAAACCTGACAGAATGGACCTTGCGCGAAGAACGAGCATTGTTCATACGCAAATGCCGCTAGATCCCCATATATAAGATGGGCGTATGAAAAGTGCTGTCGCTGATGTAGTGACCACGATCCCCTGACCGAACCTGGCCTCGCTGCCGATATGCTGAATTCTGCCCTTCTCTCGCTGTTTGGCCTTGTGCCCAGCGTTCTCAATGTCGCTTTGGCACAGACATTCACGCCCGCACCTGGAAACTTCCCAGCCAAGGGTGATGGTGACTTCGCAGGCGGTATCTTCTCGATATCCCTGTCCGAGCTACCCAAATATACCGGCGCTGGTGGAACCGGCCCTGAGTCCCCCCAAGGAAATGGCGCGAAGACGTCTGGCTCGGGACCCTACCCAGCGCAAATGTTGACCGACTCTACACTACCGAGACACACCATCTTCGCACCCAAGACCCCTCCGACTGGCAACCTCAGTCTTCCTTTCATCGCATGGGGTAACGGCGGATGCGGCCTCAACGCCGGTATCTACGAGCGGCTGTTGGTAGAAATCGCCAGCTATGGATACGTTATCGCTGCAGACGGCACCCCCGATGGCTCTGGATTCCAGGCTGGTCAGCAGTCCAAAGTACAAGATATGCGCGACTCTCTTGACTGGGCATTCGCCGGCAAAGCGAAGAAATACGGAAACGTCGACTTGACCAAAGTCACGACAGCGGGCCATAGCTGTGGAGGTCTCGAGTCCATGTCGACCGCGTATCACGATGACAGAGTCAAGAGAATCATGCTCTTCAACATTGCTATCTTCCAGGATGACAGGAGGTACCTACTCAAAGAGCTCAAGGTGCCTATGGTGTACTTGATTGGAGGACCGAAAGATATGGGGTACAATACCGTGAGTCTATCTTGGAGACCAGACAGATCTCGGTGTCGATCAATGCTAACTCTTGACAGTCGGCGAAGGATTACGCTCTCCTAAACACGGGCACTCCAAAGTTGAGGGCCAACCTCGATACTGGCCACGACGGCACCTTTGCAGCTACGAATGGTGGAAAACAGGGCAAAGCGGCTGTCGCGTACCTGGAATGGCAGTGGAGGGGCAATGCGACTGCTCGAGCATATCTGCTGGATGGAGGTCTGGAGAAGGACAATTGGGTCGAGGAGCACGCGAACTGGTCTTGAGATGCAGTTGTTATTGGCGTGACAGACGGATCATAGTGACAGAACTCGCTGTGTACACATGCTAGGCGAAAGAGACCTGTGCGCAAAGAGAGTGAAACCACGTTGAAGCATCAGCATTGTACCGGTGAAGAATCCTGTGGTGGCGCGTTCTTCGAGCTGTGGTGCGATGCCTAGGCGGAGGCTGTGAGCTGCAAAGCTGAACGAACACGAGGTCAGGTGTCCAGACAAGGCACATTCATTGATCAACAAATGCGCAAGCGTTAATATAAATATGTGAAATGCAGAACATACACGCAAGGGATAACGCAGTTCGAGTCTGAGTGCATGCACAAGAGTCGCCCAGAGCCCACGTCATCGCCCTCACCCGTAGCAACCAGCGACCAACGCCAACGCCAAACGGTTCAACCAGGCACGCCCATCCCTAGCCCTTAAACCGCCTAACTCAGTCGGTACCCGTTCTCGCCCTCTATTAATATCCACCAGCGCCGCTACAGTGTGGTTGCCGGGTTAGGCACAAACCCTGCAGAAGCGAAGAAGCGGGCTGCGCGGCGGGGACGCGACTGGGCAGTTTGGCAGGCTTGCGGGATCCACCAAGCAGTGAGGCTGAGACTCGAACCGTGTCTGACATCGACGCTGCGCCCTTCCATTGTTGTCCGAGGCGACTACGACATTCTTTTGCGGCTCGGTTTTCGCATCTCCTCACGCACACAATTCCAGGACGTTGTTTGTTGTTTGGCAATTTGCGTGACGCAGAGAGCAGACTCGGTAGGACCGGAGGCTACCCGTATTGACGTATCCGCTGTCTGTTTACCCTCACCCTTCTGCCCTTTCCGCGCCCTTCCACGCATACTACGACTTTGAGATCGCGGCAATAGACACATCCACACAAGATGCGGATACCGCAGTCGTATATCCAGAAGTGCAAGGTGGTGGCACATGTCTTCCAGGCCATCTTCGTCTTCATAGCCGCGTGTCTTACCATCGCTGTTATGACCAAGGATGGCCCCGTTGAGGGACCTACAAAGTATTTCTTTGCTATGGTAAGTTGCACTCTGTTCTTCCTTTACAGCATCGTCTTCAGGACGCTGTCTCACGTCAACATGGACATGGCTGACAAAAGGTTGCTCGCAGTGCTTCGTCTCAATACCCGCCATAATCTACCTCACAATGGTACCCATGTGGTCGCGCGCCCAACGCTTCGCCTCCGCCTACGCCTTCCTTGCCGTCGACGCTTTATACACAATCCTATGGTTCGCAGCCTTCATCTCGGTGGCCATGTGGAACGCCCACGGTATCAAAGAGGGAGCCAAGAAGGAGAAGATTGCAGATGACGACCGCAACTGCACAACATTCTTATACGGAGATGAGGCCAAGTGCAAGGTCAGCAAGGCCGCTGTAGGCGTCGGTGTCATGGTCTTGTAAGCACCCTTGCAGCCCAGATGTCAAACGAATAAGAACGTCTACTAACCCTCATGCAGCCTCTTCTTCGCCATCACAACCGGCGTATCAGGCTACTACCTCCACAAATACCTCCGCGAAGGCGTCATGCCCTACCAATCCTCATCAGAAAACACCCACTACGCCTCCGGCGACTCCGCCTACAACAACCCGAAAGACGCAGCCTGGTCGACAGAGATCGAAACCGCAAACGGCCGCGACTCCTCAGACTCGCTCGACCGCCGCACCGACCGCGGCGGAAACCAAGAAGAAGACGAATACGCGTTGCTGCACAGCACGGAAACGGATGAAGGGAGGCACCCAGGCCGGCCGCTGAGCTGGGGCGAAGATAGGAACGGAACATATGGCAGCGGTGGCAGGGGAGCTGTGCCTCCGTATGCAGAGTACAGAGACAGCAGTGCGAGTATAGCTGCCGGCGTGGACGCGTTGAGTCCGGGCGGATATGAGGAATTCAGAAGAGAGGCTGCTGCGGGGCCTCTTGGTAGCATGGGTATGGACAGAGCGCCCAGCCACAGCGGGAGTGGGTATAGCTTTAGTGGTGGACCGGAGCGGTTGAACTAGAGGTAGACTGTGGATAGGACAGCAACGTTGCATTGTTTCTGCATATGAGCGCTTCTTTTGCTTTCGAGCTGTTAGATCACCTTGCATTGGGATTGCGGTTGGGTTAGGCGTTGTCTCTTGAACTTGGTTCTTGCGTTGTCTGCGCTTTAGCGAATGCTTCTATATACGAATACTCATCTCTTCGCATAGCGCTCCACAACACATTAAGTCTCGATATCTGCTATGACACCGTCGTGAGTGTTGTGCTAGGCTCGAAGAGCCCGAGGTATTGCATTACCGCTTCGCGAAGCGTTGGACAAGTTCTAAATCGCGCTCGTGTTGCCCATTGATCGTATAGAACCAATACGCCTCTTGCTTCCTCCACCACCGGTTGGGTAGGTATGCTTCCCTGGCATCTTGTCAACAAACTTGCGCCCAAGTGCACATGCGATATGGATGATAAATGACTTACAGCATATAATACTCGTCCCGCTGGTACGGAAACTCCAAACTCGGCGGCCCGTGTTTCGCCAGAAACGCATCCGTCTCCTCCGCAGCCTCCGCCTCCGTCATTTCCACATGGACACGTTTATTCCCCCTGTTCTTCGAGTGCCGCCGTATAGCTCGCGTGGTGCTTTCCAGGTGCCTTTCTAGAATTGCAGCGTGCCATAGCGAGTTTTCTACCGCTTTGCGGGCTATACGTGCGTTGCGCGCTACGAGCTCTTGATTCCACTCTGGTGATTGCCCGCGCGGTATGATGGGGATCGGAGTTCCTGTGTCGAGGTGGTTCTGCCAGTGCGCAAAGTCTAGGACCAATCCCAGGTTATTCCACGTTAGGATGCAGGTCAGACATGTGCACAGCTGGTGTGGATCTGGCGATTGTATGTGTTGGTATGGACGGTTGTGTATGCTGAGTTGCTTTTGACGCGCGGGGTCAACCAGGAGGGTTTGTATGGGGGCGTCGACGTCGGCGAGGAGTCGGGGGGTTGGGAGGCATTTGATGAGGATGTTGTAGCGGCGCGCGATGATGGCGTCGCCAATGACGTTCGCGTTGGCCTCGACGATGCCGTGGAAGCGGCGGTTGACGAAGCTGAACTCGAGAACGTCGTGGGGACGGAGATATTTGAGCGTCTCGAGGATGAGCTCGGTTGGCAACTTTGTTATGTTCACGATGGCGTCGCGTTTCTGCTGTCTCGTCGCGTTCTTGCGCTTCATGCGCTCCGTCTTCTTGTTCTTGAGCGTAAGAGCAGCCGTCTTGTCCTCGAGTGGTTCGTCATCGTCGCTAACGGCATGTCGTGGCATAATGGGAGAGGAGACAGAAGTTCATCGGACAGTGACGGCACACATGTTGAAGCCGAACTGAGGGTTGCGGGGAAGTCGCCTTCAGCCAATCGGGTATAAGAAAAGTCCGCACAGTCTGGATGTAGCCTATTACGTAGCATTGTCTTCGCCACCAAATCACGCGACTGCTCACGACGATTTCACAATCGGCGTGAAGGAGAAATCTGATTGGTTAGTTCATGAGCACATCGGCCAAACTTCAGTATGGCGTCATGTATCATTTCTAAGCAGTGGAGCGTACATAAACACCTGCAGCATCAGCTCCTTCTGACTTCTCAACTAATAACCCCACTCAACCTGATCACGATAGAACCACGCTTATGAGCATTGCCACAAGACTTTCGACTTTCACAAGAGCAGCCCGAACCAGCTACAGCCACCCCTCTCCAAAACTACACCAGACAGCTTCCTACACCCCATACCTGGGAAGCCACGCGCAAACTCGTCTTCTCCGATCTGAAGCTCAAGCATACAAGATGACCACAGCAAGCTTCTCCCACATCGACACCGACTCCTATTCCGGAAAGCCTTGGGCCAAGGTAGACGGTCCCGGCACCAGTTTCTCGCACAAGTGGCACGAGCGATCCGTCCACAATCTACGAGGCCACGAACATGAATTCAACACCGACAACTCCGGCTTTGCCGTCTACCAATATCCCGCCAAAGAGAAAACCTTCACGGACGACGCAGCAGTGCGAGAAGGCTACTACGCCGAAGTCGAAACCTTACTACGCAACAAGCTGCCCGGCGTGAAAAAGGTCGTCATCTTCGACCACACGATCCGGAGACGAGACAAGAACTCTCCTCGGCAACCAGTCCAGCAAGTCCATGTAGACCAGACTGAAGCCGCCGCAGAAGCACGTGTACGCCGCCATCTCTCCCCCGAGGAAGCCGACGAATGGGTAAAAGGCCGCTACCAAATCATCAACGTATGGCGACCCATTGAGAATCCTGCTTCAGACCATCCCCTCGCCATGATAGACTGGAGAACAACATCAACATCCGACTTTGTTGCCACAAATCTCCTATACCCTAAGCGCGCCGACTCAATGGACGTCGACGACCGGGGTAAGGAAGTCCTTCCCGACCCAAACAACCATACTTCTACAGAGGGCTACGAGGTCAAGGGCGAAACTATGTCGGTGGCAGCGAACGACCAGCACAAGTTCTACTACCAGAAGGATATGACACCCGAAGAAGTTATTTTGCTCAAGTGCTATGATAGTTTTGGAGAGGGCATGTCTCACGGCAAGAAGGGTGTGGCTGTTAGAACACCGCACACTGCTTTTGCGGATCCGAATACGCCCGAGGATGCACCGGGTCGGCAGAGTATTGAGGTTAGATGTTTGGTGTTCTATGATTAGGGCAGCTGTGTCGAAATGAAGGCAATCTAGCTGTTTGAAAGTCATCACACGCATGTAGTTGTGGAGTAGTATGTCTTCAAGTTTACATCTAATTAGTCTATCTAAGCGAATCTATGACCGCAATCAAACTAATTTTTGGTATCGTAAGATCAGGAACGGCGTGCAAACGGTCTATCGCAAACATGACAATGAAATCATTCGTTTAGGCTTTGGTATGGGCTTCGACGCGTGCCTCGGTAGATTCCAACTCAAACGAGTCGGTATCCTGAGGTCTCCAGAACTTCTTGTCGCCCTTCATGGCGCGGATAAACCAAGGCTGAGCGCGTGGCGAGTCTGAGCGGACTGAAATGACAATTTTAGCGTAGTTTTGGGGAAGGAGTCAGTACGTGGTAATACTTACAGCTCCAGTATTCTTTGTTGTCATAGTCGGGTGGAAGTAGGCGCCCGCCTGAGATGGCACCGAGAGCCCATGTTGTCGTATTGATGATGGCGTAGCACATGATTCCAGCGATGAGACCGTATGCGATTGAGTAGGAGAAAGGCATGAACATGAGTGTAACGAACGCGGGGATAGAATCGCCTGGGTAGTTCCAATTGATGGCTAAGACACCGCGCATCATCATGCAGCCAACCAAGATGAGTGCTCCACCTGTTGCCCAAGGCGGGATGGAGGCGAAGATGGGTGCGAAAAAGAGGGAGATGAAGAAGCAGATGCCTGTGGTGATTGCTGTAAGGCCTGTGCGACCGCCTTCTTGGATACCAGCCTGTAGATCTTAGCATGGAATAAACTCAAAGCAGCCAGATATGGTACTTACACCAGACTCGACGAAAGCGGTGACAGGCGAAGATCCAAAGAGGGAACCGATGGAGATGGCAATAGCGTCCGCTGAATACGCAATAGTCGAACGGGGGAAGTCACCCGTGTCAGGATCAACAACGCCCGAGAAGCGAGCCATGGAGTACAAAGTACCCGTCGCGTCCAAAATATCGACGTAAAGCATAGTGAAGACGGCCAGAGCAAACTGTCCGCCCACGTTAGACAGATCCCAATCCTGTGCCAACAAAGTGTGTTTGATAGGATGGAAAGCGACAATGTTCTTGAAGAATTCGAAACGGCTGTCACCGACTGTTGTACGTGGGAAGTAGGTGATGGAAGTGTCGCGAGGCCAGCAGAAGATCGAAACCAGTGCGATACCAAAGATCATTGAGCCACGGATCTTGTATGTCATTAAAAGGGCAGTGAAGACACCACCCACGAGGAAGCCGAGCCACATGGTTGGGTTGGTAGCTTTGTGTGAGAGACAAGAACCAGTGTCCGGATCCAGGTACTCCGTAGGGCAACCTCCAAGGTCAAGTGGTGTAGCTTTGGCTCCTGTAATGGCACCGATACCAGCTGAGTATGAAAGTCCGATCAATGTCAAGAACAGACCGATACCCGCACCACATGCGACTTTGATACTAGCAGGAATGATGCGGGCCAACCATTGGCGAATACCAGCGAGGGAGAGCGCAACGAAGATGAAGCCTTCGACGAAAACAGCGGTCATTGCGACACGGTAATCGATGGGACCAGTGCCGTGAAATCCAACAATCTGATATGCCAGATACGCATTAAGGCCCATAGCCGGTGCGAGCGCCACTGGAAGGTTTGCAAGGAGGCCCATGAGGAACGAGCCGAGCGCTGCGATGGCGGCGGTAGCAGTAACGAAGTCACGGTTGATTTCGAGGAGGCAGAGAGAGTAGGCTTCATCGTTGATACATGTTGGGTCGACAGGGTCGTTGCAGACACAAGTCGCACCGGAGTCAGTGAGGACGGAGGCCTACATGTGGTGGTTTCGTTAGCACACGTACCACTTTGATAGCGTGGGTGACTTACGTTGACAGCGATAATATATGCCATGGTGAAAAACGTCGTCAGTCCAGCGCGCAGCTCTGTCGTAAACCTCGCATTCTTGATCTCATTGGGCTTCAATAGTCAGTATTGCGTGATGTGTTGGAAATCCAGGAACGACTCACATGTCCTGATCCGTCAAGGTGAAAATACCTGCCCACAAATGAAGCGGAAACCACATCATTGAGAGCAGCTTTGTTTCGTTCAATGAAACCCATTTTCAGAGGCCAAAAGCAAAACAACCGGAATGATAGAATGGTGTAGCACTACGAGACCATCGACACCCCAGGTAACGACGGAGATCAATCCCCAGATATACTCGCCGTACTCAAAGAGGAAGATACGGAGACTACACCTAGTGCAGGGGATAAAGCGTAGCAGCTCGCTCGCGTCATGCAGGTGCCCGCAACGATCCCGTAAGGAGTTCGCGGTAAGCCACATAAGGCATCCTCCGTGATCGGAGATGGTTTCTCGTTAAGCGAATGTGGAAGACACTATATGCCTAAAAATCTGCCGCTCCGTTATGGCAGGTCGAACGGCTAGGTGTGTTGCTGTTTCATCTTCTCATCCAAGCCGTCCCTCGGTGAGATGCAACCGCGCATACGCCACTGAAGAACCGTCCGCCTTGGCTATGTCACCTACACTAAAATGTGGTCGTCGGATTCCGGGTTGTGGGCCGCACTGAGTAATCCACTGGCATTAGCACAGTATCTAGATAACTTCAACTGAGCCAGGAAGCGAGAATGAGTCAAGCAATCGGTAGATACGTAGTAGTGACGTCGTGTGCCATGTACGTGTATGTCTTGCACCACCTCCTTCAACATCTCAGCGGTGTCAATTCCATCGCTGCCGAGGCTGACTGTGTGCGGTGCATGTCGCAAATGGGTCTAGTCGTTACGAAGTTACGGTCTTGAGGTCCAAAGGGTCCAAGACCGATGGCGCATCGGCAGAGGAATCGGACTTGGTTACTGGACATCAGGAACGAAAGGTACCTGACTGTCGGGTCTTCCAAGAAATTCTAACGAGTCGCACAAGTCCCAACGATGGCTTTGACGTGCTCGATCCAATGGTTGCTGTGCCGCTTCCCGGGGCTTTCATGAAGGGGGAAGGTAAGCGGTCATCTAGCAGACGCTAAAAGTGGCTGGTGGCGCACATGTGATAAAACCGTCTTTATGAGCGTACGTGTCGGTGCTGCATAGGCGGTAAGGAGTGACATGCTTGCGCGAGTGTGTTGTTGCGATGTGCAGAAAGAGGGAAGATCTTGATACTGTCATCGTCCAGTACCCCTCTGGTTTGGGTTGTCTGTTCCGAAGGTGTGGGTTAGGAAAGGTCACTTGCGACGATCATCATCTGCACTGTTATCGATGGGGACTTCCACGCTAAGTTCGGCGTTATTCTCGGCGGGAACCGGGCGTCCCTGTCTGTAAGGCCACCAACCACCGCTGACTTGCAACACCCAACACCAGACTACAATCATCACGCTAAAGACGCTAGTCGGCTCAGTTGGCGAGATTGAGACTATTTTCCGCGAACGGGCTGGCCTAACAGGTGGTACGTGTTGTGACATGCCGAAACAATGAACTATTATCGAGCGAAGATCCCCGCCTGGAAGGCGATGAGGGCACCGTATCGAGATAGTCGACATGTTTCCAACATTTGATGTTCCTCCTCAGCATGCCGAGACGGTAGGAGCTCGCAAAGCGAGA